CCCCAACCCCATCAACAACCACAACAACAACCCGCTGATATCGATATGGAGGCTGCGCAGCCTCACTTTTATGAGCTGTAAGTTTCCGTTCTGATACTGGATACTCTTTGCACTCGGTTCGCGAACTTATAATCGATAAAATTGCACCTGAAATAAAATTGTATCTGATGAGTGCATTTGTTTATTGTTGGAAAGGTGCTCGAATTTTGATGGAAATGAATCTTTATGCTTATTGAAACAGCGCTTGAAACATCAAAACCAAATCATTACAAGAATTTCAGGCGCAGCCGCCATGTAAGAAGGCAGCCAACACAGCCGGAAGAGCAGCCACGGCCACAACCTCGACCATTCCGGCCGCAAAACATCGAAGGATTGCGGCCGGAACACCGTGTCGAGATAGCGGCACCAGAACAGGAGGCATACCATGTATGCGACGAACAACTAGTCTGTAAGTTGTCTTTAAATCATTGTTCAGTTGATTCATTATCTAATCATCAATTTTTGACTGATGTTCAACCAATAATAATGATTTGAATATTGAGCGATTTTCGATAGTATTTTAAAATGCGTTCAAAAGTAAATTATTGAAGATATACTTTTCTCATGAAGATATGTGCTTTGAAGTATCTTTAAAACATTGATATATTTATTTTTGGTCGCTCTGTGAGATTGCGAGGGCTACTTCCACATATTTCGTACCACCTTTCAACCGAATTTGTTTCAGGGTGCCGCCTCTCCAATTGCTCCAGGCCGCAACAGCCATTCAAAACCGTTGCGGCTTGGAAAATCCACGTGCGGAGAGCCGCATGCCACAATCTCGAGAGTAAGTTATCATTTCACCTATCTCATTGATTTGTTTGTTTCTTGATGAGAAGATTATTTTCTTTCGGCATTACTTCTGCTTTATCTCTCTCCGGTCAGAATTTCAATAGCAAATTTTTGGTAACAGTGATAGAAAATCGCTTGTTATGAAAATAGTTCCAAATGATTTATGCTCTGACAGTGGATCGATTCATTCATTATGATGTAGTTACAGTCTTATTGTTAGTATATCAAATCGCCTGTTACGAAAATAGTTCCAAATGATTTATGCTCTGATAGTGGATCGATTCATTCATTATGATGTAGCTACAGTCTTATTGTTAGTATATCATTCAACCTGAAATAAGTTTCAGCTCTCTGCACGTGNTGTGGCCACGTGGTCATATTGCCCTCAGGCGACCTCTCGGCGGCCGACACGAAAGCAATCATGGACGATCACCGAGCCGAGAGGTGCGTCGGTGCCTCCAAGAAGACCAAGGAGGCACGCATCGCCGCCTCCGAGCGGCTGACGATCCTGGGCCGCGATGCCTCGCACATCGCGGTTCCAGTGGAGGCCGCAGACGAGGCTAGTGTGTCTAATCCCAGAAAAAGGCACCTAGCCTCCGAGGAGGCGAGGAGGGCAGACCAGTGCTGCTCTTATATCAAGAGGTTCAAGGAGGCCCACCCCGATATTATGGCCATCATCGGGGTGGAGCATCAGCTCAACTTCTAAACGGAACGTTGCGAGAGGGACGGCGGCGAAAAGTCAACTCAACAACACATGGATCAGTGATATCAATTTGCGAATTGAACACCAACAACCCAACCAGCACAACACATTGGTTACATTTTTTGCATGGTTTTCAAAATTCATCATCAGAGCCAGAAACCTCATTGAGGTTATGCAAAAGTTGAACGAAAACAGTTAGAAATAATAGATAATAGAATTATGAAGTTAGTTGATAAAAGATGTTGAGGAACAATTATGTACTAAGCCATAAATTGACTTAAGCGTTAAGAAATAAGCAAATGGAGCGAGCACATTAGCCATAGGAATAGGGGTGGGAATTTGCAACTTTCCACTGTTATTGCTTGTTATTAATATTTGTATCTTTATCTTCATTGTTGAATATCAATATTATTCACATATGTACGACATAATATGTTGATATATTTATTTGCATGATGTTATCTGCGTTTTTATGTGGCTTAATCTTTTCTCCATCCATGTCCTATTATTGTATCATATTTGTCCAATATTATAATTATGTCAAGCAATCCATCAGTTAAGCATATCTCCGGCCCAAAATCGGGATTCGCCGAAAAAATTTAACAAGAATGAAGTTTTCGCAATAATATTAGAGAATTTACGGATATTATTCGAAATTAAAACCTACCCAGCAAGTCAATTTAGCTACTGGAGTTACTCGTTAGTGATTTCATTGACAAAAAAGTTCGGCGTAGTGCGGTGACCGTTTTGTGGGATAGGCCAGAGAAAATGCCCTCTAAATTCCTTCCTGAGTTCTCGGGCATCCCATTTTATTGGAGATAAGAAGGAGCCATATGGCGGTCATGCCAGCTCCTAGCGCCGGTAATGGAGGGTTACAATTGCTATGGGGTTATATTATTTCAAATATATAATTCATCAACTATTCTTTTGTTACAAGGGTTCGGGATTCATATTCTTCAAGAAGTACTTTGGGTCAGGGTTTAAGTACTTCGGGTTCGGGACCGGGATACCTCCGTCGGCGCTCAGCGGGTTCGGGAAACTTTTTTTCTAAGTTATAAGTACGGGGGTCACCAAACGAAGTCGAACTTGAGCTTACATACGAGACTCCAGGAATTAGTTCATTTCTATGGTTAGTGAAAAGAATAAGTTTGAAATGAATAGTACTGGAAGACTAGTTAAGATAAGAAATGACGACTTGATAAAAAGTCCCGAAAAATCCCGAAATCCCAAAGCAATCCTAACCCGGAGACTAAATCCTTAAATCCTGAAACAATCCCTATCCCCAATCCCTACACAGTCGACGGCAGCAAACAATCAAGGAAGACAACAAATATAACTGCAAGATGGAGCAGAACAGAAAATTTTAAAAAAAAATTTTCACAAAAAAATATCGAAGAAAACTAAAAAAAATAAAAATATAACCAAATATAAAAAATAAACAAAATAAAAAAATGAAACAAAATAAAAATAAAATAAAATAAAAAAATAAAAAATGAAGAAAAAATAAACAATCAGTTGAAAAAAGAATCAACTGAAAAAATAAATTTTTAATTTACCCAGTTCTAGGCTATTTAGTATTGTCTTAAGTGACTTACTGTTTAATTGATGTTGTAATATACACAAGCAATATCATCCAGCGATATGATATTGCTTAAGCAATGTGATGGACTCTCTTCAGAGCAGTTGTAATTGACTGATATTGTTTTAAGAACTGTTTAAGGCTTTATAAAGTCATGTAATTTATATTTTTTTGTAGTATCATTGTTTGAGAGATTGTTGTTTTTATTATAGTTTCTTGTTGCAGATCATAATATGCTTTTTGTTTTTATCTTGTAAACTTTTGTTCACTTGTTTTGTCTCAAAGACTTTACAGTTGTTGTTATATGTCTTTGTTGCAGCTTATTATCTGCTTTTGTTTTATCTTGTAAATTTTATGTATCTGTTTCGTCTTCAAGACATTACTGTTTTTATTGTATTTTATTGTTTGCAGTTGATAATCTGCTCTTGTTTTCACCATGTAAGTTTAATTCATCATGTACATTTGCCTCAAAGGCATCATTGTTTTTATTGTTTTTCATTGTTTGCAGCTCATTATCTGCCTTTTGTTTTTATTCTGTAAATTTAATTCTCATGTACATTTGCCTCAAAGGCATCATTGTTTATATTATGTTTCATTGTTTGCAGTTCACTATCTGCCCCTTGTTTTTATACTTTGTTTTTATCCATGTAAATTTGTCTCAAAGACATCATTATTTTTATTGTAGCCTCATTGTTTTCAGTTAATCATCTGCCTCATTGTTAACATGTAAATTTTATTTATCATGTAAAATTGTCTTAAAGACATCATTGTTCGTATTATAATCTCATTGTCTGCAGGACATTACCTGCAAAATAAGCCTGTATAGAATGGTTTCATTGTAAGCTTAATGATAAGTGAGATGTAAAATGAGGCTAGTTCAGGTGTTCAGAAAATGAGATTACATAGT